CGTCTAGTGTGGGCGCTAATGGGCAACTGCAATTTACATCACTCCGTGATGGACAAAATTAGTAGTCCCAATAGCGTAATTGCTAATTGGCAACTGTAATTTGCGTCGGTCCGGGGTCAGTCCGGGTCATCCGGCAGGGGCGTTAACTGCGGTTCACGTTGGCCCATAGTAATCGGCTGTAGTCTCTTCCATCTTTCTTTGAGATGTTTGTACGCTCTATCCAATTCGATACGTCGGTTTATGCATGAATCATCTGAATGCATGGTCTCGGTATTTTTGGCGGGGCAAACTTCCACAATGTGTGTTTTGTCCCATGCAAGGGTGTGTCCTGTATCAAGGCAATGCATAGCCACTTCGGACACATGATCACATCTCTTCACGGTCAATTGGTGCTCATGGATACCCGTGGAGATGGATTTTCCTGTTTGGGCAAAATATACGGTATCACAAGCTTCGCATGAGATTTTGTAGATGACTTCTTCCTTATTGAGGTTACCAACCCTATCATTAAGGTGTACTAGCTGGATACGTGAAGTAGCCATCGGTTTGTGCGCCACTTTTATTTGGTGTTGCCACAAGTGCCTTTCATCTAGTTCCGACACCTTCTTTATACAAGGAGGGATTCACCATGTATTTGTTTTGGGCGCCTGAGTGGAACTATCTGGTTCTTTTTTGTTGGATTTTTGTCGTCTCATGCATCGGCGTATAAAGTCTCTGGGGTAACCATTGCAGGAAAACAAATCAAACAGATAATTAAGATAAACTCGGTAAGTTTCTTCGTCAGAGCAGTGTGTCTTCGCTGGACGGAGCAGACTGTTGACGGCACCCCTTTTTTGAGAGATTGGGTTGTTACTTTCATACTTAAGAATAACCTCCGCATACGAGTCTTTGCGATAAACGGACGCTTGCAATATTCCATCAGTATTTCGCTGCACGAGAACATCCAGAAATGGGAGTTGGTTGTTAACCTCCTCGAACGTGAATTAAATGCTCGGAATGGTTGAGGTGATGGTGTTGTTGAGCGCTTTGAGTTGGTCCTTTTTAACGAAAACAAATGTGTCGTCTACATATCGTACCTAAAACTTAGGGTTAATTGATGGAAGGACCATGAATTTTAGCTTCGCATTGTTACTTCGGCAAGGAATCCAGATATGGGCGACCCCATTGGATGATCAAATGAAAAATTGGTTTCCAGGCAAAGGTCCACAAGTTAAAGCAAGCCAGCTGCAGGAACCTTCGTTTCGTAGTTCTGCAGGGCTTCCTTTGTGCGCTTCCTCCCCTAGCGCCCACACTAGACGACTATATAACTGTAACAGCACTTTCGAAATGTTGATTCTTCGTTGCACAGCTTCTCAAGTCTGACGACGACCTGGGGATCCAGCGTCGAAAATTTACTGAATAGCGTTTCTTTATTTTCCCAAAGAACGCCGTTCCTTGAAACAACATTACTTGGAATGCTTGTCTTCCAATTCATATGACTTACTCTGTTAAACTGAAATTAAGTATACATAATTATTAATGACTATATAATAATAATATACATAACTATTGAATGACTTCTGTGTAGTCTCTAACGGACCATTTTCAAAATGCGCGCCAGGAGAGGGGCTTGTAGCCACAAAGGAACTAAGTTAATCGGAAAAGCACCCACTGCCATGACGAGATTTAAAATTAGCTCATAAGCCGGTTTTCCAGGCGCTATCGATCACTTCTGCAGTGTTTACATGTTAGCTGACGTGGTGGCCGACCGCCACAGCATAGCAGCGTTAGCAACTAGGATCTAGTAGCAGAAAAAAGCTTGTCAAAATCGCGCTTAGTCGAACGCGCATGGTTTTGTTTACCAAATGTCAGTGCTCTATGATCGCATATATCCGAACACCTAACACTTGCGAGAACGCATTGTAACGTAACCAATATGCAGCGCCTGAAAGTTCAATTTGGTCAAAATTGTGTGAA